AGATCTGAAGAGCTAAAAACTAATTCAGGATGACATAAATGCTCTTATCTTTCCCTCCACCCCCTTCCCTTCCCAACCATGAGAAGAGATTTTGACAGAAACTCAGCATATGTTCCGTATTGTCTTTAACTCGCGGGTGATGGTCTGAGTCCTGTGTCATGGTGAACCATTGTGTTGCCTCTCATCTTAGAATTTCTAGGATTATCTGGATATCAACAGTGAAGTCATCCATGCCAAGCATCTTTCTTCCTTGACGTGGGGTAGCCTGTTGAAGAACTTTGGTGCCTTTTAAGGAAACTAGATCTATCCAACCTTAACCTAGGACAAGAAGGCAGAGATATCCTTCAGTGAACCTGCACCCTTACAACCTATTGGGAAACCCCAACAAAGAAGGCACCAGGGGCTGAGGCACCTTTGAAAACAGGCAGAGATTTTGCAGAGGAACCTGGGATAACTGAAGATTGAGGATGAGGGAGTACCTGGCAAAGTTTTTAGGCAATTGCACACCACCCAAGAGTTGAGGCACTGTTTCATGAAGCCTATCAGGATGGACAGTTTTATCCCCTGGAAAGTTTTCAAAGAGAAAAGTGGCTTGCTTTTTCTACTTTTTGGTATGGATCAGAAAGTAGGTGTAATTATTCATTACGAAGTGGGATTGCCAGCCTCAGAAAATAATCACCTGCTCCACTTACAGTGGACAGAGGGTTGGACTCTTAGCCAGGCTGAAAGCAGATTTTCTTTTTTTTTTTTTTCTGTAAAAATGGAGACACTCTGAAAAGGTATTTTTAGGAAAAGAACAGTAATATAATCAAAGAGGGGTTGGCAAACCATGGCCCGAGGGCCAGCCAAATCCAGTCTGCCACCTGTTTGTATGTTTTGAACCGCATATGAGCTAAGGAATAGTTTTACCTTTTAAAGTTTTTTAAAAAATCGAAAGAATACTATTTCATGACACATGAGAAGTACATAAAATTCGAGTTTCAGTGTCCATACTTCGAGTCTCCTGGAACAGAGCCACGTATGGCTGTGGGTATGGTTGCTTCTGCCAGAGGACCGCAGAGCAGACCAATTGGGCTGAAACCGCACAACCCACAAAACCAAAAACATCTGTGATCTGGCTCTGCACAGAAAATGTCTGCTGACCTCTGTGACAGAAGATGCTTGGGAAAACAGCAACCTAAGGGCAGGCTAGGAGACTGAGGAAGAGAGATGGTTTCTCTCCATTGAGGGAATCATCAGAAGATGGTTTGGGAAGGAAAGGAACCAATTATTCTCCCTTGTTAATAAGGACAAAATCAGATACAGGGAGCTGATGCTACAAACGGGATCACTGAGGTCTCATGCAGTATTTGGAAATAATCAGGAGAGTAATCAGGAGACCAAGGACCTAGTCTTACCCTTGCAACTAGCCGGCCACGTGACTGCAGGCACTCTGGCCTTCAGCATCAACTCTGTGAAACGACTGTAAGAGGCCGATTTTATTTTCTGCTGGAGCGTATGGTGGGGGCTGGGGATAGGGTTCAAATTTAATAATTACACAAAGGTGCTTTCAATGAAAAAGCCGACAGTTCTCTGCAAATGAAAGTTGCCAATCAGTTATTGTTATGTATACTATGAGGATAAAAACATAGCAGAGTTGGCATAAAACCGGTGAGAAATGCTATATTGGTTACATGATGCAGGAACTGAGGGATCTAGAGGGATTTCTGGTGTTGCAGACAATGAGAGTACTTGAGCTGCTCCAGGGTGTAAGACCACTTCCTGAGAGGGAAGCTCTCTTGCATTTCACAGCCAGTAACCCCTAGGAACCATGTGGGCCAGGGGCTGAGTGATGCACAAAATGGTCCCCTAGGAGTTTATGCAGCTTTTCAGAGTAATTTATTCCAGGATGTTATGTACACTGGAAGAATTTGGCATAGGAAGAATCTGATGGAAGAGTACATCATGAAAGATCTTTGTTCCCAGTTATGTCAGGAGGAACCGGGGAATCTTTCCTGAGTTGGCAAAGGTCTACGTCTTCCCATGTGCGCAAGGGTTGACCTTCATCTGCTTTCAAACTCACTCACATGCTGGATGTAAGGAAGAACTTGTCATGGGCTGAACTAGTCCAGATTGCTCATTTCTGGAGTCTTCTCTTCATGGGTTTGAACATGCAAGGAAGATAATTTGACCTATTTGTCACAGCTCCTGGCAGGCCTGAGCCTAGTGCCTATCCATAAATATCTCAGGGCTGATGCTTCAGTTTCAGGACTTGTCATGTTCTAGTGGAACACGGAGTCATGTATGAACCAGAATGAGCTCAGGTCTTAAAAACTCAGGTCTCCTTAACAGGAGGGCTTTGACTTTTACGTTGCCTTTCTGTCCCTCCCTGATGGCTTATCTTCTCGGTGGGCACAAGCACTCGTTGCTCCCAACAGCACTTTTCTCTGCGTTTATAATACACTGTTTATGCCCCTGCAGCTCTGTAATTAATAATATACTGCTTTTCATCTTCAAAGTGATTTATACACATTAATTAATCCTCACCATACTTTGGAGTTTCTGCACATAAATAACCATCATGCTTCCAGATTTTACTTAGGAAACCAAGACCCAGAAGGAAAACAACTTTGTCAAGGCAAAGGAGAACGGGATCATTGGGTCAAGATCAGCATTCAAGCCCATGACCCCTCATGGTGCTTGCAGAGCTGCTATGCCCTCTGGAGAGTAGCTCTCTGGCTCCACACTCACCACCATTACTTCCGGGGAAACTGGCCCCTACCATCACTCATTTTGAGTCATAGACTATGCTTTAATACTCCAGAGTTAAAGAATAATCTTACCTAAAGCATACATAATAGAAAATGATGGATTATAATCTAATAAACCATCCTAAGATGCTCAGGTCCAGCTTTCAGTGGCCTCCAGACGGAGGATAAATATGCTTCCTAATCCATCATTTACAAGTTACACACCCAATTAAAACATTAAACTCTCACTATATGGTTTCCCACTTATGTAATCGCCCTACAGAAAGCTATTATATTTTAGCTGTCAAGCTCAGTACATCAGGCAGTAGCCATCTATCTCTCTCTGGCAAGTGGAGTAGGAGGTACACTGGGGATGGTATTGGCAGAGGTGAGCAGTGCCTCAATTTCTGTATCTGGGCTCCCCGTGGTGCCCACCAGCTCAGCAGAACATTAAGCCTGAGAAGTGAGCTCATGGACCCTTTTTGAAGTTTCTGACACAAAGCCAAATCATGCAAAGACCCTGAAGGCAATTCAATTGACTTTTACCAAGCCTCCTTGAACAGTTACCTGGGGAAGTACACAGAACTACCTCTAATGATGCAAAAGATTCTACGCGAAGTGACTGAGACTGCAATGGACACCTTCCCCCTCCCTCAAGTCAATCCATTACTTCTTCCTTCATCAAGAGCAAGTGAGAAGCAGACATGACTTTAAATCAGGGGTACATGGGTGTCAGACCTCTGTGCCAATGTGGGGCTGGGGTTTATAGCACCAAGGCTTTTGCAAAGTTCCAGATAAACATGGTACCTTTCCCCAGAGTGTCACTTTTCTCACTTTTGGAGGGCATTCCTAGGAGATGTGACTGGTAAAGAATGTAAAAACGGGTTTTTCTGTATTAAGGTGAGCATAGCGATCTTATGGGAGACAGTGAAAACTTCACACCAGTTTTTGGCTTGTGATGGCCTTGGGCAGAGCCCCAGATCATGGGGGCCACACGGCCACCCGCCCTCACCATCAGGCAAGCTTGGGTAGAACAGTCTTGGAAGTCCTGAACCAATTCCTTCTCTGGACGCTACCACGCTGGCTGCCTGAGGATGAAGGAGGTGTGGAAGCCCCATGGCTGACGGAGAAGGGACAAAGTCAGAATGATCAGGGTTGCCCTTTTTCCGCAGCATAAGTGTTGAGAAGAATTTTGGAGCCGGCCTCTTTCTGCTGGTGTTTTATAGGCTTGCTTTGCCACCTGGTACAGCCCATCTGAGGACGCCTGTCATAGATGCCCTGAAACCCAGCCGGAACCATCAAGTGTTTCAAATGCACTTGAACAAACACCACTGTGGCCTCTGCCTGGGCCAGGAGCTCTGCCATTGGCAAGCTCAGTTCACAGAGCGGCAACACCGGGGCTCTTTGTTGGGGCCAAGAGCTGTGAGGAGGCTTTGTGGCCAGCCCAGGACCCTCACATGCATGGGGCACTCTGCCCCCGAGCTCTTGGCACCTGCTGCTTGCCATAGTTACAGGGCTACACCTCATGGATGCAAACCAACATCCCTGGCATAGGAAGAAAGATACCCCAGCAACTTCACCAATCTGCTACCCTAAGCTATATCCTGAGTGCCCAGAAGCACAGCTGGCATGAAAGATGAACCTGATTCATGGCTGTGGTGCAATTCAAGTTGAGGCTAAAGGGACAGAAGCAAAGGAGAGGATGTGGGCAAGATCCACTGTGTCTAGGTGACTTGATTCCACACAGAGAGCTGACTGGATGCTCTGACCTCTGAATCCTGTTTCTGTTCCACACCTCTGGAAATAAGCTAGCTACTTAGCTAGATGTTAGCTTTGAATCAAGATGCTCCAAGACATGCTGGTCACTATTCTTCTATTCAGTTTTTGGCTGAAGTTAACCCATGTTGCAGGCATTTTAGAGCACAGACCTGGGTTAAAATCCAGTGACAGAAGAGACTAGCAGGCTACTTCAGGAATGAGGGATGGGTTTGCAGAAACAACAATTTTCAGCTCGTCTCCAAGAAAGAATACAGTAGGGATGCTTACTAACATGTCTGATAAATATTATTTAGAATCTTGAGAAAGCAGCTCATCAGATTTAAATACATTTCAGGAGAGAAAAAGAGCTCCCATCCCTCACTCATTGTTTACATCTTTCAGGAGCCAACACGCAAACTGTCCAGACAAAAGAGGGCTTCTCCCTTCGTAAGCCCACGGCCTATGCCCCACCTCCTCACGGCCAGGGTCATGGAGCGGGCTGCCCTGACTTACCTATGAAATATGCCAGCAGAATCGCCAAGAGGAGGGCTGCGGCGATGGCGGACAGGGCTGCACATTTCCAGCTGCAGTATTTAGAGGGCTTCTTCAGTTTGAAGGCCTTCCTGGAGAAGGTATTCCGGGGCAGCAGGCGGGGTGGTGGCGTGTAAACGGTTCCTGAGGTCAAAGGGTATCCCGGAGAGGAGCTGCTAAACAGGGGCGTGCTCCCCGAGGAGGTCTTAAAGAGAAAGTGCCTGGCAAGGAAAAAGGAAAGAGTCAGCATGGACGTGGGCGGCTCCTGGGGGACATCCAGCTGCTTTGTCCTTCACTCTGCTTTATACAGTTCTAGTAGGGTCCTCGTACACTGCTCTACCTTGCCATGGACAAAAGGGCAAAGATTTCGTTTGATGGCCATATACATTAATTCCATAAACTCACATCACTTTATGTGTTCCCATATACGTCTAGATCTTATCTTCGACAACAATCCTGAAAAGTATTCAAAGCAAATATGGAAACTGGGTGACTGTTTGTCACTTGGAGATGACGATGAGGATGATGAGGAGGAGGATGATGAGGATGATGGTGAGGAGGACACAAAGCCGTGTCATGTGGTAGAACCTAATAAGCAAAGGCACTAGAAATATATTGTCACAACTACTTAAAACTGCATATTAAAATATCCATACATTTAAGATATGAGAAATCAGGCTTGAAGAAGTCAAGCAATTGTCCAAGGATATGAACTCGGAGCTCTATCTCATGTGGAAGTCTGTGCTCTTGAGCGTTACCCTCAACTGTCTCTCCTGAGCCTTCTTCCTGGGCTGTTTGCCCCCCTCCATCTTGCTTCCTGTCCTGAGACTGCCTCTCTAGCTCATGGGATCATGTTTTTTCTTTGGCAACATCTTTGCCTGCCAATTAAACAAGACGCTCTTGGTCTCTTGGGCTACAGTGTGACAATAGGGTAATGGGGTCTATTCCTGACACCTAATATAACCCTTCCTCAGGGTCAGGAGGCTGTCTCTCCAAGGACACTTCAAGGACCATAAATTCTCTGACAGATTTTTCTCTCTTATGTGTGCCATTTATAAGACTTCAAGTGTGACTTGCCACACCTTGTTTCAAATGATGAATTGTCTTCCAGGAAATAGATAGTGGACTTTAAAGCATGGATTAAGTAGTGTCTAGAGTTTGAGCAGCCGGAGACCAGGGACTGTGTCTTCTTTTATACCTTGTTCATTTTTATGTTCCCAGAACCCACCTCAAAGTTCAGCATGCACGAGAGAGTTTAGTGAATGAATGAATGAACAAATAAATGACTGAATGGAGCTCCCTCATGTTTTGTGAATTTAAAAATCTAAGGGTCCAAAATGTCATAGAGGTATTTCCTTCAAGCCTTAGTAGGTACAGCTATACTTATGGACCACATACTATGTGTCAGCTGCAATGCTTAAAAGTTTTACTTGCATCCAAACCTCTCATCAACCCTATATTATTACCACAGTTTTACAAATGAGAAAACAGAAGCTCGGGGGTAGCAAGCAGGGTCACTGGGGCTACAACTCCCATCTGCCTGACTCTAGATCCTCCAGTTGGACCTCTTACACCACACTGCTCCTGCGTATGGGACTCAGTGGGCTATCCTGGTGGGATTCTAAGGCAGGATCACTATTATTACAAATATTTGGATCTTGGCTGCTTCCAGACAAAACCTTGGAAGTATTTTAATCCTTGACAAAGATCAAACAAACCTGAGATGACTGACAATCATGTCAGAAAATGAGTATCTGATTAGTGAATGATTTACTACAGCTAACATTAAAACAACTGATAGTTAAAAACTTTATTTGTACTCTAAGTATGTTTGATGATCTGAATAAAGGCAAGAGGTTGGATTCCATAAATAAGCCTTTGTATTCCTTGTCCAATAGCATGCTTTTAGAGCTCCGGATGAAAAGTCTTTTGGAAGAGGTGGCAAGAAGCACAGTGTTTAGAAGCAGGTTTTGGAGCAATGTTCACCTGGATGGGAGTCTTAACAGTACCATTCCTGGACAAGTAAGCTTACATAAGTTACACAATGCTGTTCTTAAAAGTCTCCATCTCTTCATCTGTAAAATGGGGGTAATGATGGCCCAGGTACCTCACGTCACAGCATAGGCAGTTGTACTGATTACATGAGATCATGTAGGAAAAGCACTTAACCAAAGCTGTGTCTCATGGCAAGTGCTCAGTGCATCATGAGTAGCTTTTATTACTAATTCTCAGAACAACATAAGGAGACTGAAACAGGAGTTTTAATTTAAAGCCTGACAAATGTCACAAACACCTGAAGAGTTCTCCAAATCACTAAATAATAGTCCATTGTCTTATAATTAAGCTAGAACATATGCACACCAGAAAACCAGGGTGATGGAAAAATGCTGGAATTTGATTTAGAACTAGCTCAAATGTATTTCTTGAACAATTTTCCAAGAGTGGGTAGTGAAAATAGGATATCAGACTAAAACCAAGAAATATAAAGACATTGCAAGCCATTATTGATAAATATTTAGAAATACAGGGGCACCAGGACTCATCCCCACAGAGATCTCAATCTTTTCCATGGCTTCAGGCATCCTATGACTCAAGTCAACAGGTGTCCATTTCCAACCAGCTTCCTCCCTGAGGTCCAGACTCCCATTCCAGCTGTATACTGGGCATCTCTCTCTCTCTCTCTCTCCATTCCATAGCTGTATTGCACAAGTTACAGCCAAACATGGACTCTTTTCCTTCCCCTCCCCATTCACACTCTTCCTGCATTCCTGTTATTCCCAGGTGCCTAAGAAACTGCAGCCATTTTTTACCTCCTTCCTTCCCCTCACCTTCTACCATACAATGGGTGAAAAAATCCTATCCATTTTATTTCTGAAAACCTCTCGCACCAAACCTCCCCTTTCAACCCTCCTGCCACTTTTCTTCCCAAACCACAAAGGTCATCGTGCTCTGCCTTATAAATCCTGGCTGATCCTCCAATGCCCGCAAGAAGAAATCTCAATATGGGACCAGACTCTTTACAATAAGTACTCAACTTTTTTATCCTTGTCTCTAACCTCGTGCTCCCTGATCCCTGAACTCTGCTTCAGCCACACCAGAAGACACATCTTTCCTTAACCTGGCTGTTCATGCTGCCATGCCTTTGGGAATGACGTGTCATGTTTGGGAATGGCTGTTCCTGGGCTTCCCTACCCACCCCACCCCAGCCAACTCCTACTCACCTTCCAACCACCTTCTTGGGAAACTTATTCCAAAAGGTTTGGTATCTATATCATCCTCTATCACTTTTTGCACTCAAGAATCTATTATACACTCGGATATCTATATCTATCTACCAGTCTACCTATCTACCTATATCTATCTATCTATCTATCTATCTATCTATCTATCTATCTATCTATCTATCAATCATGTGTTTGCCCCAGTGCCTGGTGCCTGAACATCAGTCGTATTTGTGAACAGCATCAGTAAATTGGAAACAATGTTTTGGTAACATCAGAGAAATCACAAGATGAAGATAAAAAAAGTTTAATTGCCTTAATGTTATTTTTAATGCACTCATTTGTAAGAAATAATAGAAGGAAATGATTATTTTTTTTGGTATGGGATTCCTTCCTGAGAGCCTAAAATTGTCTCCTGACAACTCAAGTCTATTTTCCACACTTCTTTCGAAAAAGGAACTCAGATTATGTCACATGTCAGTATTCTCCGATCCCCTCCCCCAATCAATCAATCAATCAATCAAGGTTTCCAATAACACGAAAATAAAATCACAAGTCCTTCCCATGGTCTACAATGCCCTGCCATGTTCTGCCTTCTGGCTGCCTTTCCAACTGTACCTTCTACCGCTTTAGTCTCTCTCACTCCGTCAGCTAACCTGTCCTTTTGATATTCCTCATCATATCACATCCAACACATTTTCACCTAAGGGCCTTTATACATGCCTGGAAATACCTCACAGCTTGTTTCTTCATATCATTCACCACTCTGCTCCAGTGTCACTTTCCCAGGGAGATCTTCCCTGCCCTCCCCCTGCTTCTTTCTCTGTCATTCTCCATCCTGCTATAACTGCTTTATTTCTCTAAATTTTTTAAAAATATTTTGTTAGAGAGAGAGAGAGAGAGTGTGTGTGTGCACACAAGCAGGGGGAGCAGCAGACAGAGGGAGAAGCAGACTCCCAGCTGAGCAGGGAGCCCGATGCAGGTCTCCATCCCAGGACCCGGGGATCATGACCTGAGCCAAAGGCAGACGCTTAACTGACTGAGCCACCCAGGCGTCCCTATTTTTCTAAATTATATATGTATTTGTATATTGTTTATTATCTATCTCCATCATTAGATCTGAACTTCTATGACATTTAAAATAAACAGGTATTTTGTCTCATTTGTTCAAATTGTACCCTGACATTTAGAAGAGAGCCTGGCACATAGTGGGTACTCAGCAAATCTTTGTTAAATGAATGACCTACAAACTTTCCAAGGCTAAAACCATGAATGTTAACAGGACAGCACTGTGAACATTTTTAATTTTAAAATTAGGAGGATTCCTTCCACCATGTTGACTTCTGTTTTCCAGATTTACAAGTTTGGGCATGTGCATATAGGCAGATGTTTATACGTATACATACAAGCCCAGATCCCTCCACAGGAAAAATAAACAAATAAACACCATGTACTGTTCAGGACTGCATTAACCCTAGTGGACTATAGCTCTCAGCCCTCTCTTTGCTACTGTGGTATCTGTGATGATCCTAGCTAAATGAAACTCATTTGGTTATCATATCCCTTTTTTCTAATTTCTGATGCTTAAAATGATTAAACCAAAGTACCAAAGATAATGTAGACTCCTGTTTCTTCACAACAGAGCTATACCTGCTGTTGCAGATCTTTACAAGGTTAAAATCAGCAAATAAATAAATAAATAGGTTCTAAAGAAGTGTTCTTCAGACTATGTCCCATAAATACCTGCTTTGTGATCACCAGAGTGCTCTGTTAGGAAAGTACAACTTTCTGGCCTCTAACCAGACCCAGGGCTGGGGGGCTGGCATTTATTGGTTAAGAAGCTTTCTATGTGATTCTAATGTTTCTGGAAGTTTAAGAAACTCTACCCTAACCATTTTGCACCTCTCAAATGTGTCTGATGGTTAGTAGATGTATCTTTTTAAATTCTATATATCTAGAGAACACATTAGATGTTTAGTAGATGTATCTTTTTATTTTTTATTTTTTAAAGATTTTATTCATTTATTTG